TGGAGAGGTACGCAGGAGCTACATACCATGTACCAGGTTCAAGCATGCAGTTGCTGTCTGCTGTTCGGCATCTGACCGAAGGACAGCGCTAGGCAGAGCAAAATTAGGTATGTGACTAGGGCTACACCGTAGGGTCCCGTGAAGCTGGCAATAATGACTCAATGAATGGAAATGCTTTGAGTTCATTTGAGTTCATGTTCAGGACCTCGAAATCGAAGGGAGGGCGCTTGGACCTCCGTTATGAATGTGCCGCTGATTATTGGCTTGGGCAGAGTGAAGACTCGGAAGGTGGGGTAAATGCAAATCCCGAATAAGGCCAGAAGGCGTAAATGTGGCTTATGATAACGGCGCCATGGCCGCTGTGGCGACCATGCGGTCTTCGAATGTGTAAAATTGAGCTAGCCAGTAGCCAGCCATGTACAGGGGAGTCCGCATACACTAAGGTACGGGTACGGAGCATTATTGCGTACGTACGCAATCGTTATTATTGGTGGAGACTGCAAAGTACATATTTTTCTACTAAATTTTCAACGGAGCACCCATAGGTTGTAGGCTTGTAGCCAGTAGATAGCTTCCTATATAAAAACCACGGATGGACTATACGCACTAAACCACTGCTGGTCACGGAAAAATATCACATCGACTGTGATTCGCAAGCTTGTTGCTGTCCAGCTTCCGATGGGAGATTAGCGTACAATCTCCACTTAACTAGTATTACTACCTTAGGTGGGTACAACGTACAATGGCTCAGTACTTGGACTCTGTATTCTGTATACAACCTGGTACTTATTGATTACCCTTCTTCATCAACCAATGGCCGCCATGCCCATCTACATCGAGCCGTTGCTGAGCATGCTTTCTCAAAGGCTACTCAGCAACCAGTGCCTTGGGGCAAGGGTACCCGGAAGTAGAACTAGAGGCTAGAGTAGTAGAACCCCCGTGGTTACTGACAAGCGAGAGATCCCCGCATTCGTACACAGGAAAAATATTCCAGTCCTCGGGGAACCGGCGAGTGCAACTGATATCAGATGACAAAAAAAAAGAAGAAAAAAGTCAATGACGGACAATGACACGCATATCAGACAAAAGCATATCAATAAGGTAGTGATTGTTATGCCAGCACAGGGGTCAACTCCTGGTACAACTTGATGAAACTTGTACTACTTATGTAGAAATGGATGGCACATGCGCTAAACGATCTTCTTGCATGGCCTTCACATTGTCTTTATTCTGTAACACATTGGGGTTGTACAGAAGTGGATATTCATCTATTGTGGCGTAGATAGTGCCTCATCTTGCATGGGGATAATCATGTGTCCCTTGCATCTTAGATTCGCGTATCAAACTCTTGGAAGTTCTTTCCAGACAGAAAGGCTCGTCTATCAAGTTGTCGTAGAGTTTCGAAAATCATCTTGCGGATGCTCAGAGAGATATTACATTCGCCGTTGGTGCATTCAAGGGAAACAATGATATAATACCGGGCCCATAGGGCTGATCTACAGTGTACATAACTCGTTGCTATATGTGATCAGGAGACAGAAGAATCTGTCTGACTCGTCAGCCTCCAGGTCGTAAATTTCCCTTGAGAATGTGTCAACCTTAGCCATAGCTTACACCACAGCTTTCCTGGGCGAGACATAAATCCCAAACCAGGGATGAGGGTCCACGAATCCCCGCTATCGCGCGGGGTTTGGCCGCTCGTCAAGGCAACCACAACCACTAGGACCACGAAGCTTATGCAGGCCATGAAAAGTTCCTATGGTACTGGGCTACTGTGGTAGTACGGAGTACGTGGTATTAGATATTCCTTACCCAATGCGGTAATAAGGCCATACCGCACAGCGTAGGATTTTTTTTTTTTTTTTTTCTTTCTCACCTTGATGATCCATCCCTCGTTTGCTCTTTGTTCACTGCGTTCCCGAATCAAGCCAATCAGCAAATAGGTCCGGCTTGCCGATCAGTAACGCTAAATAAGGTGAAGTGTCTGACTTGGACCATGACAACTTGAGAAGACCATTTCTAAAACATTTAGAGCCACTAGACGACAGAGCTTAATGAAGTACTTATCGATATCTACATGTTCCAGACTCCACCTGGTTAGCAACAAAGCACTTGCAGAGTAGCTACTGAAGACTCTAGTCTGATGTTCGATATGACAGCTCCCCAGCTCGCAATATGCAATTTCGTCACATGTGCTTAGAATAGAATACTGTAGATCGCTGAATAATTATTCTGTAAGCGCAACATCCGAATCCCGGAATGACTTGAGCGTATGGGATGCAGAAAAAACAATGAGAAAAAATAGAGAAAACCAAAAATAATGAACAATATCTGTAAACAATCCAGGGATTCCATCATGGGGATGGTACAGGAGGTGCTTGTGTAACACATCTTATTGGCGGGCTTGCACCTTTCATAAGGGAGAGTTGTCATTGGCGGGTACTTTGACCGGGACGGGAAACGGGATGACAACGGTCATGCGGCGTGCCTCAGGCATTCACGTCTATTCCTCCATCAATACAGTGACAGCCTGCATCAAATACATACCTTACAAGGCTGTCAGTACCTCGCTTCAACGCTGCCATGAGCATGTCACAGGTGTTACAGGGCTTGAAATAGCTGGGAGAGTATTTGTTTGCGAGGTTTCAGGTCGAGGATACAATGCTTTTGTTCTATCTAGTATATCTAATTCCGTCTTCGAGGTACATGCGTAGCACTGCACGGGCAACAGTGAAACTTACTTCAAGGGGTTGGTGTAAGGTAGTTAGCTAAGGCTTTTTAGGACAAAAGATGGTTTTCAGGCGCCTACCAAGCCCTGCTGGTGCAAATGGTTGTGTCGTCGAGCAGTTCCTGTCTGCATTGCTCAATGTACTTTCGGTACTTAGGGGACATGGCAGTGGTTTTCACACCGCACTGACCGCAATAATGGCAGCTCAAGATAAGGTTGTTCATGTCTATTTTACTTTTCCCGAGTGTGTCTCATTCTGGCTCGTGCAGTTAGAGCAAGCCCCCCGAGGCGAATTCCTCACAATGATGGACTCCCAACTTAATTCGATCTCCTGAAGACAAATCAACGTGCCCAATGTATTGAATACACCACCTAAGATGACCATCAACTACTGTATGGGCTCCAATTTCATTATGGTAAATCCTCAGTTAACCACGGTCAGATTTGCTTAAACTCCAGATTACCAGCTATGGAGCAAATGACTTGCGGGAGACGTAGGAGGCGCAAAGATGAGCGACATGACAACAAGGTTGAGAACAACCACGACTACGGAGTATACCTATTTCTCTGCAATACGGAGTATTGCTAGATGGAATCAGTCCACTACATTGACAAACCCGCCAAAATGGACTATATACTGCCTGAATCTGGAAGTCTTGTCGCATGTCTTATCAAAGGCAAGTTGTCATCTTGAAAGACCACACTTCGCCCTGTAGTTTTAATCTACCAACTCATTATGAGAGGAAGAATCTGAGCTAGGATGGTGCACGTTTCGAGACCTTCTCTTGTATGCGGGACAAGTCCAGTATTTCCCGTTTCCCTTTACGTGGGCTCTCGGAAGGTCAATATCGGACTGATACCACAGGTTCTGATAAGGGGCGGACTTTAGGACATGGATCTAGCTAACTGCGAAGTCCCACACATTGATAATTATATTCAGATAGGGTAGTTGGTGGCTAGGAGATGATGTCATATATGGTTCGATCAAAGGTGAATTTTTATTTGACTTGACCTCCTGAGTAATTATTTCTATAGACGAGGTTTGTATGGAGTACCCAGTACTGTCGCAGAGTACGAAGTATGCTCATACTTGTATTTATCATACATTATAATACCATAATACCGGGCTGCATGGAAGCAACTTAACGGAAGATCATTTTTTACAAATTACCGGGTCTCCACCCCTCCTTCTGCCTCCCCACCGATCCATGGGCCTTGTCCATTTGACTCCGTCCCAAAAAAGTGATCGCGGCGGTCAAACTCTTTTTCGTCGCTTTTTTAGTTGAATACGCATATTGTGAGGGAAGATCAAATATGAAGCCGGAGGGAGAATAAAGGGAAATTGGCTCCAGAAGCATTTCCTCCGGACGAGGTTTTCACTGTTCATTTAATTCTTTTCCCCATCTACTATTCTTTTCGACATTACCACGTTGCCCATGTGGCCCCTTTCGGTCTGCTCTGTTTCCTAAATTAATATCCATTCTTCTTCTCCAATTCTCCCCGGGCAGAATCCTTTTTGTCGACTCTCTGCCCCAGGTACCTGTGGTTCTGAGCAGCTGTGCTTTCTAAGTCATCACTCGCTGTCTGTCCACACAGCCTTCCGCCCATCCATTTCATATTCCACTATCATTGGGGGCTTCTGTTCCTGCGATTTAGATCCTCTGCACATCCTCCCAATCCACACCCCATTATCAACCATCTTCTTTTCGCCCCTCGTTACTCATATCGCGCCTTCACGGATCTCTCCACCATTGACGCGACTTCTGTTGGTTCGACCTACATCATCATCTAACCTCTTCTCTCATTTTCTCTCTTCCATCTTCTGGAAAGCGCGATCGTATAAATCCTTCCTGTGTCCGTGGTGCCATATCCTCCCAGTCACTAACGTCACCGTCGAGAAAGGAACGCTTTAGCTACAACCAACAATCCCACACTTCCGCAACCCCAAATTCTCAGATTTCTTTCCGCGGAACCTTCGATTAAAGAATCCCTAATCACAAAACTCATAGCCACTCGGATCCAAGTGGCCACTTTCGGGAGCACGATAAGACTGTCGGTGATAACCGCCCGAAATTATCATAGTACGGTGCAAACGCTTTGAACTAGAGTGTTTCCATGAGATTTCAAACCACAACTTCCACAGTCTCCTCCCAGTGATAGTGACCCCGCCTGATCCGAATGTTGACTCTAGCGGCGCTTCGTCGTTCACCGTTCCTGTCAACTGTCAATTCCGCTTGAATCTTTAGCTCCCAGACATCTGGGTTTACCCACAATGTTTAGCAACAGGTATGTGAAATTCGCTATGAATTGCTGTAGTTATGGCCGGCTCCTAGGATATATGCTCACCCGCAGTTAGAAAAAATTCCCAGAAGCCAGACGACGAGTTCATTCAACGATTTCAGAAAACTTTCTCAGAGGTAGTCCCCTTAGGCTCGCAATGCAACGCCCCCGGTTTGGGGCAAGTGGCTGGCAACCAACCTATCACTCCGTCTAGGTATGTAATCTAAGTATTCTATATTCGTTCATCACTCGCCGGTGCCTGCGCATCATTTGATCTGGCATTATCTGACTTATATCCTCAAAAAAAGGCTCATGGAGAGTGATGGTGTCAAAGTCAACGACACTACACCGCGCGCCGCACAAGACTTGCGATTTACACCTTCCTTTGTCGACCCGAACTCTCTATCCTACATGAACTTCCCAGCCCAACAGAATGGGTATTACACACCGAATTCGGGGGGTTTGGGGCCAGTGTTCCATAGCCAAGCTGGAGACCTACACACACCCGGCATGAGCATGATCACACCAATGTCCCTTACCCAACAAATTCCCGGCCCAAACTTAAGCGCTGGGGGCCAGGCATTTGGCCTGGACCACTATGATCAACACTATATCAATCCGCATTTTCACAACCCACAGGCATTCGCCCCACAAGCATCTTTCGCGCCCAGCGCATTTGTTCACCGCGATTCAGGATACGATGCTATGGATGAGTCTGTGGATGAATTGTCGCTAAATGATGTCGATATGCGGGGAAATACATCCCAGTTTGCCGCTTCGACCACACATGATCTTTCAGAATCTCCAGGATCTAGTGAGAAGTAAGCTATTCTTTTGCATTCCGCCATTGTCAGTACGAAGACATTCTAACCAACAACTTCAGTTTCCGATATCATGTCACATTGCGTGCTCCAACTGCTATGATCAAGCATCAGAACGAAATTCCCATTTCATATCTAAACAAAGGACAGGCTTATTCAGTTTCTGTCGTCGACTCAAACCCGCCGCCCATGACGGGTCAGCCGGTAAGATACCGCACGTTCATCCGCGTCTCTTTTCAAGAAGAGGAGCAGAGATCAAAGCCTGCTGCTTGCTGGCAATTATGGAAGGAGGGACGTGGCTCTAGCGAGGCGTATCAGCGAGGCGGCAAGCTCCAGGCGGTTGAATATGTCGATCCGATCCAAGGAGGCATTGAAGACCACAAGCAGCGGCAAATTCAACTGGAGAGTGCATCGTTCGATGGATTTTGTGTCACGTGGACTGCCAATCCGGCGACTGGAGTACCTGAATGCGCCATCTCCGTTCGATTCAATTTCCTATCCACTGATTTTAGCCATTCCAAAGGTGTCAAAGGCATTCCCGTTAGGCTTTGTGCTAAAACGGAGATGATTGGTGCAGATAGCGCAGATCCTCGCGAAGCCGAAGTATGCTACTGCAAAGTCAAGCTTTTCCGTGACCATGGAGCGGAGCGGAAGCTGTCTAACGACGTCGCTCATGTGAAGAAGACCATTGAGAAGCTGCGTCAGCAGATCGCTCAGGCCGAAATGGGTGCAGGCAATTATGGCAAGCGGAAGCGAGCTGGTAACCCTATCTCTCTGAAGGGTTCTGACCATCGCCCTGCGAAGATCTCCAAACACAAGAGGACGTGGTCAATGAGCTCACAGGATGGCGAGAAACTGTCCGTGGAAGATGATCTTCATGCAAAGTTAGCAATGATGCAGGACATGTTCACTTCCACTCGGCCAGTGAGTATTCTCGGACTTCGGGGCGACGAACAAGACGATCCGGATCTATATCCTGTGATCTTACCTGGCGACTCATTTGATCAGGTCAAGAAGGAGGGCTCAGCGAAGCCCGGTGACCCTCGTCTTAGTATCGATGCCTCTGCTTATACTCTGTCACCTACCAGCAGCAATGTCTCGATCAACTCGCCCTGCCATCCCCCACTGCTTCAGCAGCATGGACGTTTCTACGATTCCGGTTACCAGGGATCAATGGGCAATTCAAGGGACAATTCGCGACCTAGTTCCGAATTCTCTGGAGAAAAGATGATTCTCAAGCATCCAGTCAAAGTGCAGAGAATCTCCGGAGGTTCGAATCTTCCAATGGGATACATCGAAGCTGTGGATATCGATCCCACCTATAGACCACCTGCGGAGCGTCCTCAAAAGCCGAGTAAGTCGAGCGTGAGATCCTACTTCGAGGCCAAAGTACTGACCTAGTCTAGTTGCATGTTTCTACATTCGCTTTCCACGGACTAACCAAAACGGCGATGATTATTACCGTGCAGTCTATCTGACCGAGCGAACCGTTCGTGATCTGATGGAAAAGATTTCGATGAAGCAGAAGATCGATCCACAGCGTATAGTACGCGTTCTGCACGTTAAGGAAAATGGCCTCAAAATCATGGTTGATGACGACGTGGTTCGTGAGTTGCCCGATGGCCAAGATATGGTTGTCGAGATTTCAGAAGCATCAGTGTTCGACAATGCAGTGGCAAACAGTTCTGATCACCTAAACCCCGCGGTGGAGGTCAAATTGAGCTACTGATGCCGCCAAGGCCGTATTCAAAGCTGCATTATCTTGCAGATATCTGTCTGCTCAAAGACTCTTCTTCATCTTCAACGGCGAAGCAAAGCCGAAACAAACGAGAACAAAAACGCTAACTGAACATTTGACGATAAGCAAGATTCCATTCCGGTTCAATAACCTATCTTATTTGGCGCCTGGTGCGTTGGACAAAGAAATGATATTCATCTAGTGCTGCCATGTCTTTGCTTTTCCTTTGTGGTTGTGGGCTTGGTTTGCTGGTTGGCCCTTTCTTTTTGATATTATTCGGGGCGTTGATTGCGGGGATAATAAACGAGTTCCCGGGCAATGATACCCTGTCGCAATATGATTGTTTCATTGATTTTATTTGATTTTATTGGTTTCATCCATCTCGATATTTCCTCCATTTTCATGTGCCATATCTTTCTCACGACCTCTTCCCACCTTCCTCCGCACCTTCGAACTTCACCATTCTGCTTCGGGATTGTTACGTTACATGTGCAGTCGCATATCAGCCTATTAGCCTGTGAGGTTTCCTGCTACAGTTTCTTTTGCCTTCCGATTGTGATTTCAAGAACATGGTTGGGGAACAACGCATACGAGATAGATACCCTGTGCCATTCTGCTGTGTTCTGCTTGCTTCTATTTCCTAATCTTGCAAAGTATTATGTGGTTTTTCGAGACTTGAATGAGCATTGCCTCTCACTCTGACTCTGATATGTTTTTGACACAGATTGTCGCCATGGTCAAAGGCTGGTCTGTCAGCGGTCCTCTCCTCATTCTGTTGAAGAGTCAGAAACCGCTTCCAGGGTACGCTGTGTCTGATTCAAAATGAATCCCGCAAACCGCTCTTTTACATGGAAAGATGTCGGAGATGAATCTTTCTGGTTCATGTTATTACATAGGGCATAGGAAGATAATACACGATCACCTTTGCTGATTGAGATATAATATTCAAAAGAAATTATACGAGAAATGCCGTGGTGCGACTGAGAAATCAGCGAATAGGAATTACGTCATAGTCTTAGACGCTAGTGTGAAGCGCAGTATGGAGTCAAAAAGGTACGGACGGAGTGGTAATCAAAAAAGCATGCTCAATACCATAAAGTCCCTCAAACCTCAGGTCTATCGGCAGGTGTTTCTGGAACTAGAGACACTGGTAAATAATAAAGTATCGGTGAGTAGAATATCAGCTACTAACACAGAGCATGTCAGTTGGTGTACATGCCTATCTGCCAACTACTGAGTACTAGTCTACTGCGTACTGACTCGGGGCCCTTCGGGGGTGGCGCGACCATGAGATTTCAGGTCCCACTCAAGCACAGACTAATAGGCCTTGGACTGTGAGTGGCCGGGCCCTTTACCCCCAGTTAGAAACCAGACAAAAATTTAAATTACAGGTTGTAGTCCGCATACACTAAGATCGGCAGTCTGAAACTTCAGTGTATTCAGTGTTTATTTACAGTACAGAAGGCACTTTCAGAACAGATGAGTAATGCGAAAAGGTTCAACAACACACGGAGCTGCAGATAAGACTTGGCCAGAGAGTCTAAGTACAAGGTCAGGAGAGTATTTCCGCTGCTGTTGTCTTAATTCCGTATTTGAATTGTTGTCAGTGAAAGATGAGGTAAATAATCAGTGTTTTATCGTGGGGAGCCCTCATGTTCTCGACCAAAATCGCCTTGGCCGTAAGGGATTTGGCGGGCATTCCAGTCGATTCTGCTCCCCGTTGTTGATCGCTTATGCTACTCCACTGTGACCTGTGACCATAGGCGCTTAGATAATAAGTGTCGCTGTTTATGGGTTGTATTTGGCACTTTCCCAATGAGGTAGTAGATAGACTCTTAAGGGCCCCAATCACATTATTTATTGATGATTTTGGGCCCTGATACTGCGGAGTCCGTACAATGATACCCATCGGCTGTCGGCTCCCTGCAGCCTATGTGGGTTTACTTCATGGCTGGGATGTCTGGCTCGGTAATCCTGACAGACTCATATCACTGTTGTTCGTGGGCAATTGAGTCGATTTTCAAATATCGACTGAACTGCGTGTACCAAAATCCAAAGAGCGTGACAATTCTAAGGTAGTATGCACATTACCGTCGCACAGTCCCGGGAACTAGTGGGAAATGTAGATGCCATATTATTTGCTGAAGAAGGGATGATCCAGATTCCCGAGTTCCAGATTGTGCCGCAGTGCGTAAGGCATGGCTGGACTAGCGGTTGTGCTTCGTGTTAGGCTTTGACCTTAGCTGTTCTCTTTCGATGGGATCTTCTTCAACCAATCAGTAGACTTTTAGGGTCTTCATCCCCTTGCGACCTGCGTGTTGATGTGATATCTTATTTTTGTTTTTGTTTTTATATTACCAGAAGGACTCCTCATATTTTCTGCTTGTTACAATCATCTGATACAGTTGGTTTCCATTTTGCTTATTTCTTAGAAAGGGTATGTTCGTGAGGGAAAGATGAGGCCGAAACCCACCATACACTGCGGTACAGAATCGGAAAAGCAGATTCTGCCGCCAGTTGCGCCAACTCCCCAAAATGGTGACGTCAGCCATTCCATTAGTCTGGATCCAGCTGTACCTCGGGCCTTGGCATGATGTCATAGCATTCCTTTACTTTCTGAAGGGAATGGATACCTCCACGCGGGTCGTGCCGATGTGGAGCTTGCCAACTGAACAGGAGAGTCTGGGCCATGCAAAATCAATTCTGAGGGAAAATAAAAATACTTGTCCAAATAATACTGTTTATTACGGCATACAGAAGACGTTCAGGCACAACATGTTCGTATTTCCATACAGAGTAAAATTTGAGGCTATACCGTTGCAGACTACCTTATGCCTAGGCAGTTGCTATACTATCCAGATAGTTAGTTCATCGGAGCATGGACATGGATGGTTAGGGTTCTCTATAAGACTCAATAGAGTTTGATAACGTTGCTCATCAGTTACACATCTGTAGATATACACCTGCTTGATCTAATTGCTTATATAGGCGTTGCAGCACCTTGTACCAGGTCAAGGAAAGCTAGCTACCCCTAAAGTTCGGTAGTATACTAGTGGACGGTTGGTAGTATGCCAAGGTCTGTCCAAGTTACTCGAAAATGCCTGTGCCAGTCTTTTCCTAAACAGCATGGTGATGAGCAGGGCAATTATGCTTATTTCTAGCGTCTGACTGCTGGGAGATCTGATCAACGCCTGCAGTCTTTGCCATATTAGACAAGGTTAAGTGGCAAATGGAAGCTTAAGTCTGGACTAAAATATGATGGAATATCCTGTTTTGCTGAACTTTACAGTCATGTTCAGGGCACGAGTTATCCGAAGTGAGTATGACGAGACTATCAACTGTTTAGAGACTCTTTCACAGCACTGCTTGAGATTGGTTGATGGCACTAATGATTCCGAAGTAGACCTATCCTCGAGTAGTGTCCCTAAAGAGTCGGATATTATTAATATCCAACCGTTATGATAGTTGTTTTATACTCGTGCGGATAAAAATTCCGTGAGCACCTCAATGGTACATTATATAGTCATCGATAGGATCGAATCAGCTTATCAGATCAATCAGTCGATCAGGAGGCTGACAATACGTGGTTATTGAAATCGCGTAAGAACAAACGCAGTAAGCTACCGCTTGTTATTCTCTACAGGAGGATCATATCTATATCAGAGTCCTTGAACTTTGACACAACAGGCTGCGCAGATCAGAGAGTAACTGTGGGGAGAACCATCGTACTTCAAGTCCGACCAGGAAAATATCTTTCTCTTTGTTCGCACGTTCTGTTTGGTGGGACGCTTCCATCGATGGTGGTCCTCATTCTACACTGTATACAACTTTCCTATTTGGGTAATGTCGTCACTGTCGCACCTTCTGTAACCATTGTTTTTGAGCATCAAACAACCTTGCAACGAACTCTCCCCTTTCCCTGGTCCTACTTGCCCCTCCTTTTTATCTGTCTTTTTCTCCCACCGTCGTATTTTGTTCTTCGTCCAGCCATCCGCTCGTAAACTCTCAAATCATCAAACTTGTCTTCCTGCATCTAGTTTCCTTGCTGCTCTGTATCCCCTCATCTACAACAACCAACATGGCTTCTACGGTTTCTTTCAAGGTTGCTTTTTGCTTCGCTGTTTGTTACCTCGCAACTTTGAGCTCTGGAGAAGGTAGGTTGTGTCTAATTCTGAGCCCTACTCGTCACGCCAACTGAAGTGTGTTTCCTTAACACCTTTCGGCAGGATTGATAGAAGAACACAAAGTCATTGATGACAATCTGAAACTGAGGGATTCAAGCGGTGAGTTTTGATGTTGACTACCTAACTGCCAATCTTGCGTACGCTAACAGCATTATAGTCGAGGAAGTGGTCGTTCCACTGGCCCTGAAATATCTGCCTCGCGCCGGTAAGCTCTCTGCCCTAACCATGCCCACTGCTTCTGTACTTGTGATCTGTCCACGTGCTGACACGCCTTCGTATGCAGATACTGTCACCGTCACTGTCACGGAGACTGTGTGCAAATCTTCAAGCACGACTCTCTCAAAGCCTTCTACCACCATTTGGGTCCCAGCAATTCCAACCATGGTTACCACCGCTTCGATGCCAACGTCTCAGACTAGCGTTTCCACGTCTGAATCTTCTACTACGTCGTCTGTAGAGCAGACGACTCCTCACCGTACCAGCTCGACCAGTAGCAGCGATGCTTCTACTCCTGTGCCCAGCAGCAGTGAACCACCATTCGCTCCTCCTCTTTCGGATTCTGCCACTGGTCAAGGGAAAATACACTTTCCTTTGCTGGTATGGAGCTTGGTGATGACAGGTTTCATGAACGTGTAGGACGCCATGTTCTATCTGTCCGTCTTATTGCTATTTTAGAAGTAGAAAGTCGCGAAGCAAACTCTGATTGAATCCCCGTCCAGAGCAACTGGTATGACTGGCTATGTTCTAATTCTGATTTCAAGAAGCTCACGTGGGTCATGTTGTTCATGTTTTACCCTTTTTATGAGGATGCGGCAGTTATATGCTGCTCACTTTTATTGATACTCAACAGATTTAATAGTTTCCAATGGAGCTCAAGGCGGCTGGTTTCCGCATGATGTGATCAAGTCTCGCACTCAAGTAATATAATATTAGCATTGTGATTGTTACCATGGGTATCTTCTAAGGACCAAACATATAATCGCCCATCTAGTCGCATCATGAAGTTGTAGAGGAGTTACCTGACCGACCAATGTCATAGACCCTCTCTCCAGCGACTGTCCACCAAGCATAAGCGCTGAGAATAAGAGCGTATTTGAGCACGATGCATGAAGAACAAGCGACACCATTTCAGAACTGATCTGACCGCTCTGCGCTAGAATGGAAAAATTCAAGAATGAGAACGAACAGGGAGGTCACAAGCGATCAACGAGAAATTTGTAGACCATGAATCGAAGTCTAGACCACTGCGATGAATGCGCACATGCCATCACATCTCGGACTCACCCAACGCCTCAATTTCTTTGGCCAGGGAACAGATGCGGCAGCCATTGCCAATCCGATCTCTCAAGAGCCGCGCGGTGGTCACCTTGGCGCCGACAGTGCGAGACGCGGACAGCGGGAGTTCATTCAGGGTGGATATGCCGATCTCTGGCAGTGGGCGTGGGGTCTGCATTCCGGACTGGTTTCCGTCCGAGGCTGTTGAAGTATCATCAGAGTGAACGTGTGATAGGTGGAAGACATGTCCACATGCGAAGCCGACGAGGATTTCCTTTTCTATACGCGAACATAATGGATCAGCACCGAGAACATTATCGTATAGCTTGAACGAAATAGCTTACCATTGGGATAGAAAGGGAGATGGCATCCCGCACACCTCCCTGGTTGAAACGTAGACGGGCTTGATGGCGACAAGCCTTTCTCTGTACCAGCGTTGCTGTTCACTTCATCTTTGTCGCCGATGTCGGAGACGGTCTTCTCTTCGGTGATATTAAATTTAATACCTCGTTGTTGTCCTTTTCTTAAAGTGTCCATGCCAACAGCCACTTCGCTTTGAAGGACCTTGGCGGCACCCTGGCTGATACTCGCCTGCAGGTCATGTTCACGAATCATGCGGGTGAGTCCTTCCCGCAGCCCTTCGATTTCAAGTCCGCTTGGGATGCGTCTGACAAGTTTGATTGGGTCGATGGACGTGCCGGCCTCGACAAGGAGCCCGTGGATGAAACGGGGCTTGTCCATCGAGTAGTCGAGAAGATCTTCCCAGAGATCAGGATCATCTTGCGCCTTGGCAAACGATATCGCCTGCGAGACATCCTTCAAGTCGGATAGAATCAAGTTCAGTGCCTTCTTCGTCTGTCCCATCTTAGATAGGAGATAGATGAGCTCCGACGTGAAGTGGCGGCTCTCGCAGACGGCAACCGCTGTGTCAAAGGAGTACGCGGTGCTAACTTGCAAAAACTCCATCAGCAATGGACGGTCGTAGTCGGCGAAAAGTTCCACGGCGGTATCAGCGAAATTATCAACTAGCGCCTTGCCCTCATCAGCTGCTAGTTTGCTTGCTGCGTCCCGAATTCCAGCACCGTGACCTCTGCGTGGCTTTGCAGCGCTGTGCGGAAGCGACTCTCCTCGCCAGAGAGCACGGAGGTAGAAATAAAGAAAAAGAAGCCGATTTGCATCTTTAAGCTGAGTGACCACGACCTCAGGGCGCACAATTCCAGTATACGCTTCGCTGACGAGAAGCTTGATTGGCTCGGCAGTTATCTCTTCCAGTTCGGAAACTGGAGCCATTTTCATCTGTTGCTTGGAAACTCGAATCATGATAAATGCGGGGATATCATCTGAAAGAGCGTCCAGCAAGCGGTGCTCCTTGATCAAAGCCATGGCCGTGTCCGCATCCTGTAGTCGAATGTAACAGTGCAATGCTTCGTTATAATGACCTCCGGCCAGATAGAGCTTGGCAAGGCATTTGGTAAGGATCCGCCAGTCCTCTGTTTCAGGTGGCACCGTCCTGGGATCCAACTGTTCTTCGACAGCTGCCGTTACACGATTAACATCAAACAGCGTGAAAGGCCAGGAATCCAAGAGTTCGCTGAATCTGTGCCGATCTCGAGAGACATAATGACTCAGGACTTCCTCATATATGTCCGGCGACAAGGGCGGATGAAAATCTGTCGGAATAACAGAAGAGATTTCGTCAAACTTCTTATTCTTCACAAAAGTCCACGCCCAATGCTCCCATGCAGAAGTGGTCTGTATTGCCTTCGCGCAAACTTCAGCGGCTCGACTCCAGTCGTCTTGCTCGAGCAATTGTTTGATCCATAGCTCACCAATTCGGCGCTTCTCTTGGTCAGCGGCAGAAGCTACAGCTCGACCAGTAGTCGTAATGGATGATCTATCATCGGCGAAGAAGTCACCCAAGCTGCTCTGGGACCTTGTTGAGATACCTGGAATATTATCCGAAATTTCCTGTGTTCCCGCCGCCTCTGGATGCTCCTCCAGGAGCTTCCACGCTTCTTCGTATTTCTCATGTGCATCTAACCAAGCTAGACGATCTGAAAGGTCTCTTTTCGCCGCAACCACGCAGTCGTAAGGGCTGTGGATGAAGATCTTGGGACCAGCGCTTGCTGCAATGTCCTGTACTTCTTTAGACACAGGTTCTTCATTCGGCATCCGTTTCGAGGCCAGTATACTTGGCGCTCTGATCGAACCTTTGTCACCGCTACTTGTTGTGCTCCGGATACTTGCACCAGAGCTGAACAACCTCGCGGGGTACATCGTCGCGTCCCAGAAGCCATTTCCAAGTGTTTCCAGAGCCCCACGTTGAGACACAGGCACTGATGATTTCCACGGCGGTATGACGCACATGTGGTAGTCTGAAGAAGTGAGATTTTCATAGCGACTTACTGTAAGTGTATCGGCGCTGAGCTCTTCTTTCGTATCAATATCAATAATGCGAAGCTCGGGTTCCAGGCCCCGGGGACGGCGGTGTGTGCGAGGACGAAGAACGCTCTGCTTCATCCGCTCTTCCGAAACATTCTCTTCCTCGGCCTCAATATATGCAAGAACAGCTATAAGGTTTGGTGTATATAATGAAATGCCCGATATAATACAGTCAGTCCGCAAGCTAGAGTTAATTTGTCAGCGATCGTTTCATAATTATGGCAACGCGAACTCACATCGTGGAGACTTGGACAGATCCTATCTTCAGGTCCTTATTGTTTTTGTTTGGCCGGTCGGGATACACATTGATGACCCAAACAGTCCCTCCCCAACCCACGACGAGCCTCTCTACATTCTCCTTCGTCGCAACTACATCCGATGCGGCGGGAGCGTCAAGATGAGGTTCTTCCTGCTGGGACTTCACATTATCCTCCCAGCGCAGAGAATCTTCGTCCACCCAGTCAGCTCGAGCTCTCCAGACGCCGGCCATTTCTTCCCATCCAGGGCCGTTCGGACGGTCGATGTGGCTAATTCGTTTCCAAGCAAGCTCAGAGTCCGCTGAGTCCAGATGTAGGTTCGACCGCATAATCTTGATCCCCTCTTCATTGACCCATACGACGTATTTCCCCGACAACGACCATTTAATCGTGCTGATAGCACCCTCCCCGCTGTGTAATATGGTATCCCTGCCGGTATTGGTTCCCAACCCGATCGATCCAAGCCAGCTGGACGCCGCAGCTGCGGCGCCTCCCATTGTCGTCGAGTTCGTGCTCACACCCACTCGTCCACCAGTCGTAAGAATCAGTTCACCCGCTCGCCCTCCAGACAGGAATGTTCGATCACTTTTGTATTCTGGTGATAGTGCAACGGCTTGGACAGGCCGCCCAAAGTTCCGTAGAAGGACATCTTTAGTATCAACTAAAGAGGCAACGCATACATTACCATCGATAGAGGAAGTCGCGATGTAAATGGAATTGGAGGGCGTTGCGGGTGGAGCTGTTTGATGGCTTGATTTATTGTGGCCACGAAGGCTGGCCGAGGATCGAGTAGGAACAGCTTGATCTTCCGTGGCCGTTCTGGTGACGTTCTCTGCTTTGATGCTCGGTAAAGGAGGAGGGAACGGAGAGATTGAAATCGAAGTAACGCTCGCTGAGTGTGCGTGATAAATCCGAAGCGACTGAAATAGAGGCAAGGAAAGCACATGCTGCAAGATGTCAGTACTGAACCCTCACAACAAGTAGTCATGTTAGCTTACAATGTTTCCATTGTGTGTTCCGATAATCTAGAGAATATTTCAGCAAAGGCAAGTGAATCGCACACTTTTGAAACCATACCATCTTATCGCCCGCGGTAAGGAATGAGCTGGTTGCGTCGCCATTGCGGTACACCGCGCTCAGATTTTTCGTGAGATACAGGTATTTGAGCTGAGGCTCCTCTACGTCGTCATCGTCATCTTCCTCTTCTTCTTCAGTGTCTGCCTCTCCGCTACCCTTATCATCCTCATCTTCGTCTCCATCCGCAGGTTGTTCGGGCCGAAAGCTGTGGTCGTTGGTTCTTTGCTGCACGGAAGGGTCATGTGCCAGGCTGTCCTGATGGGCATCCTCTGTAGGCTCAGTCGCGCCAGGCGCGTCCATGGCGAACGCCTATTTCCGTACCTGGAGCAATTGAAAGACCACCACAGGTGGGGGACTCATGTCATGACGAGCAGTTGGTGGACCTGGGGTAACTTGGGGATACCTGATGACTAAGCACCTAGCTCAAATCGCCATTGAAAGCCGGTTGGATGGGTCGAAACACTTTCTTTGCAACACCCTGTTTGCTGCGTCGTTTTAAGACATTGTTGTACAAGAGTAAGGTTTATGGATTCCTGCTCGACCGCGCCTTTTGGAATCCTCAGCACCAATACTACAGCATGTTCGCAAGGCCCTACGTCTGTTCGATATGCAGAAGGCCCACTGTGGCTAGGCCCTTGAAACAGCCGCAGAGCCATAATCTTCACGCATCGTATCCCCTTGGTCTTCCTCGGCGCAAAGATTTCTTCTCGTCCAATGCCTTTCTCAGTCAGAAACAGTCCAGAAATGGTGATTTATCGCAGGAGTTGTTATCGGAGACGCAGAAGGAACGCAGGAGAGGCGTCAGAAACCCGGCAGCACCAACATCGTTACGGAGAGTGGCAGTGGAGGCACAAAGGTCGAAAGACGGGATCTTATCAAAAGCTCAACTGAAAGAGCAAGGAATTTACCAGACTAAGGTTTCAACAACTGCGCCCTCGAGCAAGCATCAGCCGCTGATATTGGACTAAAAGGCAGTAACAGCCTATGCTGTAGCAGAACAATTCGACATCCGCAAAGTCAGAGATATCCTCCAAGAGAAAGGTTTCGAGCCGGATCCGTTTCAAACAGGCCTTTTTCCTCAAGTCGTTCATGTCCAAGTTCCCATAGATTCGATTCGACGCGTGAGTAATCCCACCACGACCGATCTGTCATCCGATGAAGTTGGCGATGTATTCGTTTTCCCTTCCGGCACTGTGGTGGCATGGTCTTTGCCCGAGGGCTTTACCTCTTTTCTGGCAACTAGAACCCTTCTCCCGGCGGCGGAAGGCGCCCACATAGAGAATCTGGAGACGGAGGATTTGGAATACATTGAGGATCCCCAACGGGAGAACAGCAGCATTAAAGGAGATACCATTATCCTTGGCACCAAGTCCGGTAACGATGACTCGGAATCGAAGCTCGGCCGGCAGTCTGTAGACACGGTCCTTACTAAGGTGGCATTTTCGTCAGGGTTGGCTCGAAGTACGAAACTGGCAGTGCTTGAGTCTCTGCTGGCCAATTATTTCGAGTCAACCAGAACAATACCCACACTTCTATCGCAGGGCTCTCGCTTACCCTTCACAAGAGATTTCATCCTCCGCAAGACCGGCCAACTGCTGAGTGTGCGGGCCCAATTGAATCTCTATTCAGAACTGACAGACTCATTGCCAGATTTATTCTGGGATAGCCGGCATGAGCTGGGTCTAGAGGGCTACTACGAACAGGTAGGAAGGGCACTAGATGTGGGTATTCGCATCAAGCTCTTGAATGAGAAAATGGATTACGCACAGGAAATAGCAAGCGTGCTTCGAGAGAGGCTGAGCGAGACACACGGCCTCCGGCTCGAATGGATTATCATCCTCCTCATTGCCGTTGAGGTAGGATTTGAAGTTTTGAGGCTTTGGAAAGAACGCGCTCATGAGCTTGAAGCCAAAGCTGAACAAAGCTCTGAACCTTCGTGATCTTGGATCACACATGTCCTTGCATAGGATAGCTACTTTCAGACTTAACAATGATACCCCCCCGCTCATCTTAAACAAGTCTCATCCCCTTTACTCCCGTGATTCTCGAAGTGCCTCTTGGCAATGTCCTCTCTAGTAGATAGTTATCCTTCTCTGCAGAAAGATTAATAGCCTAATCAGGCACTCATCAGCTGAACAGGTCACATGTGACACTAAGCTTAGTCACGTTATGACGAGACATTCACGTGCGTCCAGCATCATTCCCACGCCTTGCATTGAGAGCTATCTTCTTTTTCTTCTCATATACTTAGTTCCTCGGCTCTTTGTACATGTTACACTTTATCCTGTCGTAAAACAATTCTCGGCTCTGCAGCGGGCGTGGAAGCAACCGTCACATCGTCTTCACTCCTAGTACTTGTACCGCCCCCAACGGAGCCTCGATATCAACAAGCATGTTGCAGAGTATACCCGGACCGCAACACATCTTGAAGGCTCTGACGGGCTCTTTGGGGCTCTCGACCGTGTCAGAGCCAGATCGTGAAGTTTCACAAAACTCATTTCAGTGCTCTAAACCGGAGTTGAGCTGTCGCGCCCAGTACCATGGCCAGAACACTTGCTGCTTCAACTATCCCGGAGGGCAGATGCTCCAGACGCAGTTCTGGGATGCGGACCCTGCGGTCGGGCCAGTCGACTCCTGGACTATTCATGGACTCTGGTGAGCTCTACACGGTGCTACCGAAGCTCTCATTGTCGCAGACATGCATCCTACTGAATAGGACACTGATCACCTGGCTCCCCCTAGGCCGGACTTCTGTGATGGTGGCTTTGATCAATATTGTGACTCAAAGAGGAGATACAGCAACATCTCCCTGATCTTGGTTGACTCAGGCCGAGCTGACCTACTAGAGTATATGAGTGATTTTTGGAAAGATTTCCGAGGGGACGACGAAGATCTCTGGGAGCATGAGTGGAACAAGCATGGCACATGTATTAGCACTCTGGAAACCACCTGCTATGCGGATTACTATCCACAGCAGGAAGTCGTAGACTACTTCAACAAAACGGTGGAGATCTTCCAGAAATTGCCTACTTACCAAGTCCGGAGCCCCTTTGACCATTATTTTGACTTGATCTGACTGATTCTTATTCTCAAGACCCTTGCCAATGCTGGCATCGTACCCTCACATACGGAGACATACACGCTCGACGAAATCGAGGATGCTCTAGCAAAAGCCCACGGCGCCCCGGTTACCGTCCGGTGTCGAAACCGTGCGCTGAATGAAGTCTGGTACCACTTCAACATCGCAGGTTCTCTGCAGACGGGAGATTTCGTTGCCTCTGGACCAGGTCTGCCAATCCTTGATCCCTCGTTTCTCAACGCGACGTCAGTTATACTAATGGATAATGACCGTAGACGGCCTCAAGTCCAACTGCCCTGCCACAGGCATCCACTACATACCCAAGAAACCCCGCGAACCCTCCCGAACAACAGGCACTCCCTCGCAACCAACAAGCACCGGGATTCCGTTCCAGGGACGCGGCAACCTGATAGTGTCATCTTTGGGTGGAAGAAGAGGCTGTATCATCAGCCGCGGGAAGTGGTTCGCCTCTGGCACATGCGCAACCTTCAAGGCGAAGAAGGTTACAGGTACGTTGTTCCAGGAAGGGAGGGTGGAAAACTACATTGCAGTGATGGTGCTTGTATCTGCGAGAACAGCCTGCTAACAAATTATCAGATGACACGTTCACCCTGCAATCTAGCAAGGGAATCTGCGCATTCGAGGGAGGCGCTTTTAGCTGTGGCCCTCACGTCACTGCTCCAGAGGAGTTTTCCGTAAGTCCCATTGTGCCCTCGACTGACCTGCGTCCGCTGACGAAATTATCACTGGGTACAGGTCCAGGATGGCAAGCTCTCCTATCGCGGAAACACGACCTTTTTCGCAGACAAGGCACCAAAGGGCCGCACGCAGAGCACCATCTTTGCTTCCCAGGATGAACATCCGATCGACCTTGCTATTACATGGAAGGAGCGTCGCTGAGCGAGTCGTATTGTCCTGTTTTGGTATGGTTCTTAAATCAGATAGATAGACCTCCAGTTTGATTTTGGATAGAGTTGAGTTTTCTCTAGGAATTCTATTTAGTTTCAAGAAGAGAGCGGATCTAATAGCAGGCCAAAGGCTCGAAGATCATTGATTGTGCGCAGCGTGAATAGTGGAATCTATTGCTCAGATAAAGTACAGGTCATGCAGACGACCGAGGATTAATTGTTAACAAGGATGCAGCGGGCCAAAAACAGTTCCCGAAAAGAAGAAAGTGAACGCCGGGATTAGGCTAGAGGACCGCTAAAACATGGACGAAGGATAGGAGTCAAAGGAGAGGCGACTGCAGAACCCTGTTGGGAAGGTCAAGTCTTGACTGCAGAACCCGAAATGTCGTACATGTGCGAGAAGAGAAAGAACCGAGATGAAGACAAAAACAAAGAATGTAACCCCGAAAATTTTTGTCACAGATGTCATTCACAAACGAAGAAAGAATACTGTGGAAGTTGTCATTGAAATTGTACATAAGTCGTGTCGTGGAAATTTGAAGGTCGTTGTCATACGTGTAGTTCCAGTCGTTGAAATCGGAGTCATGAGAATTGATTTGCGCGTCGGTCATTAGCCAGAGTCGTTGCATCGTGTCATGGTATGTGTGGTGTTCATTCTATTCGTGTGGCTCGTCGCTCGTGCGTCGTTTGAGGCCAAAGCTAGCAGTCCATGAAGAATTCTTTGGTCATATCATCAACCTGGAATTGGAGTGAAAAGAAGTCGTCGTTCATCGAGGTAGCGGCAGAGAATGTCTTGCTCGAGAACAGATCCAGTCCGGGCTCGAAAGTAGACCCATTGACATAGTCGGGAAAAGCGGCCATGTCGGGGTCACTCAGGTCGGGAAATTCATGCTTGAAGTTGGCGGAGCTGTCCGTGCTGATGAAGATATCGAGGTCGGAGCCCTGAGACGAATCAGCCAAGGTGGGAGCCGTATGTGGAGAAGACAGCTCGGCGGTGGAGGTAGCAATATCGGTATATGGATCGGCATTCGAAATGAAAGGCAGGCTCGGTTCTTCAACAATTTTCTCGAGGGGGCGCTTGGAGGGCGACAAAGGCAGCATTTCATCCTCGCTACTGGGTGTGAGTGAGCGGCGACTCTGAGCGGGCGATGGCTGGTTTCCAAAACTCTGTCGCGGAGACGCAGGGGGCGTGAAAGTAAACGCCGATGGAGGCAAGGAAAAGTTGGGTTGGTTGAACGCGGGCATATCCTCTTTCGGGCTCGATCCACCGTGAAGACTCATATTCTCAAGGATTTCGGAAGGCGGAGAGTTGGGGGAATCAACACATCCGGCCGAGGAGTCAAGGGATGACTTCTCGGCGACTCTCTGGCGTGTCTTGGCTGCCTTGTCCTGTCTCTCCTCCAACTCTGGTCGATGTTTCTTTGGACGACCACGTTTTGTTGTCTTGCGCACAATACCCTTGTAACCGCCGATGCACATTCCTCGTTGTCTGTGCCGAGTCAGAGCATCGTGCCTAGCGAATACGTTGCCACAAAGACATTCATAAGGTTTGTCTCCAGTGTGAATCTTGGCGTGACGCTTCAGGTCATGCCCGCGAACGAAGCACTTGTTGCAATGATCACACTTATATTGACGGTCACCAAGGTGGGTCTGGACGTGTGACTTGATATTCTCTTTTCTTCCGAACCGCCGCTCGCAGCCGGGGTGAAGACAAACCCACTTTCCATCCTCCGGGTCCGGGCCAGAGATGTAGGAAGCGATCTCATCGATGGTGATCCCGGTCTCTTTGATAGAAGCATGAACCCTAGCATCAAGATTAAGGCTATCAATCGAAGCCACTCTTGGAGAAAGCCGGGGTTTCGTCAAGGAAGAACTGGAGCTGGTACTCAGCGCCTTCCTGTGGGTTGCGCGATTGGACGCGGCAGGGAAGATGGGCAATTTGTGAGCCTTCTCATGATTGTCCTCGGGGGTTGGCATGGCGGCTAGCTCTGGGGAGGATTGAAAGGACGAGGTTGCTGACGACGGGGCATAGTGACTCTGCGAATAATTCTCTGACTCGGAGATTTCGAAACTGGAACCCTGCTGACTGCCAAACGCATCAAAACTGTCAATTTCAAATGAAGCAGTGTTCGGGGGGGAGGGCATCTCGATTTTGGAGTTGGAAAAGGTAGACCCCGCAACTCCTTGGAGGGACTTGGCTCGTTGCATGTATGCCGACTGGGCTGATGCGGGTGCAGAGCGGCCCGTCTCCTTGGAGGGGGTGGACTGCATGTCCGTACTATACTGAGCAAGTTCCGCTGGTTTCTTGAACGGAGTTGTCGCTGGCGTTATGGGAAAGTAGTCTGGATCGGTCGTCAGTGGTTGGGAGAAAACGACCGGTATGACCGGATGGATCACTTACGCGTATTTGCCTGCTTGGGGGTATGCGGTCGTTGCGAGGGGGTGATATCTGACTGAACAGACTGTCGTCTCCCATCGGCCGAAAGGTTGTTGACTTGAGACCGGAGCGACGTAGCGAGCTGGCCTTGCTGGTAGAAATTCCAGCCACCGTTGTCGAGGATTTGGCCATCAAGGCTATTGACGCATGAGACGTGAGCATTTTGCAGTTGCTGCTGTTGCATCAGATTGAGATTGTTGTCCATTGATCGAATCCCCAAGCTCGGGTTTCCCATGGGAATGAAGCTCGAATTCATGTAAGCCATGCCCGAATGGTTCGCATTGCTGGCAGATTGGGACAATGCCTGCAAGTCTTCCGAGGTCAAAGACGGGCATTCAGGCATCACGGGCATGGGAGAGGAGTGCTGGGGGAAATGCGCCGATTGCGAGAATCGGGGATGCTGCACTCCCCCGGCAAGGATTTGGGGCTGCTGAGTTGCTGTTGCGTTAGTAATGGAAACGGCCCCATCGTGCATAGGTCGAGAACGTTGGACGTGCAAAGGTCGTTGGTCGAGACTCTGTCCACGGCGATGCGCATTGATTCGCTGCAATGCCTGTGCTGGAAGGGTAGGAACTTTGGCGGCTTCCAGCGCATTGGGAGTTGAGATCTGCCGACGATGTTGTCGATAGCGCTCGTGCAGATTGCTATGTGGATTGGCTAACATGTCGGGCGGAGATCTCTGAAGTTCACTCGTGGCGGATGGGTCGACCGACAGTTGGCAGATCTTGCGTCTGGATCTATCAATTCGACCTGTAAGCCTCCTGCAGGAACGTTGCGCCAAATGTACGAAAACGTGCTGTACGAACCTCGAGGAGCGCTAGCCGTTTGGCCGGGCCCAGCAGATGGGAAGCAACCACCCTGTAACAGTGTCAGCTGGTGTCCTATTGAACAAAGATCACAAACCGAGCTAAAGAAGAAGAGAAAGAAAGGAAAGTCTCGAGCTTCCTGTGCGCTAGCTCTTGTAAAGACTTGCGATCACAGCAACAGTCGCAAAGGCTTCAAAGAAAGGCGTAAAAGCTGAAGCTTTGTCGCGCGATTGTCCTCTAGACGTGGAGTCCGAGAAGAAAACAAGCAAGCAGCGAGAATGAAGAGAAACACAGGGTATTTCAATTCAAGATTTGAACCAAGGATGGAGGGGATGAGATGGATCGATAGATGATCGATAGATAGATAGATAGCTCGAAGCTGGATCCAGCAGACCATGGCTATCCCGATCTATCTACTATGCAGCCCATGGTTCCGATCAACAATGGCGGTGTTGGCCCAGCAACGCAGGCGGCTCAGGCGTCGGGGAAACCATCAACCCTTGGCATGAAGCCTGACAACCTCATTGTGGATCGATTGGTGGGCGTTTGCGCCTTGGTTCCAGTGCGGAAAATATTCAAGCTAGGGCCATTGTTCAAACCCTGCGTCTATCTTGTGAGAGTTTACTTGCGCCTGTACGGAGTAAGGAGTTTAGAAAACAACCCCTCATAGTCGAGACACCCTCGAAAGATGCAGCTATATAGGGGCAACCGGGTGCCTATGAAGGGCTCGAATGATTGACTTTGATGATGCTCCCTTTCTTCGCAATAGCATCGAAATTATTGATGGCAATTTATAGGTTTCATGTCGTCAATTATTTGCTAGCAAGGATGGAGGGCCTTGATGATGATGATACTGAGGCTAACTGCCCTGGCGTTCCAAAGATAAACTCTGGCGTCATCCGTCCCGCTCGTCTGATGCCTTAATTTTCAGGCGACAAAGTAAGAAAATAGGATCATCTGTCACGTGCTCAGGCCGGGTCTCGGAGCGGCGAAATGAATGATCCAGACGTTCAACGCTAGATCAAATCGGGCAAAATGCAGTGCACGTGACCACACAATCATTTTAATCGCACACTCCGCCAGAATCACTTTTACACACGATCGCAACGAAGGTTGAGGAAGACAAGTCTTGTCGAGGTGAGTTTGCAGCCCATACGTTACTCCATGTGCCTTCATCCAAATGGGATCACTTAGATTTCATTCAACATCCATTATCCTCGACATTGCAGTGTAATCTCTCCGAAAGCGCGAGCAGAAATTGCAACCGAGGATCATGGCTTTCGCACAACTCTTTAAAAAAAGCTCAACGACCACGGCTCTGACGATGTCTCTCTCACAGGCCTTCATTCAAGATGCAGATCTTCGTCAAGACCCTTACGGGTAAGACTATCACCCTCGAGGTGGAGTCTTCGGACACCATTGACAATGTCAAGTCCAAGATCCAGGGTACGCAACCCCTCCGAGCATCGTGAACCCGAGAAGAACTCTTAACCTGACTTGGTAAAACAGACAAGGAGGGAATCCCCCCCGACCAGCAGCGTCTGATCTTCGCTGGCAAGCAGCTCGAGGACGGCCGTACCCTCTCTGACTACAACATCCAGAAGGAGTCGACCCTGCACCTCGTGCTCCGCCTGCGTGGTGGTGCCAAGAAGCGCAAGAAGAAGGTCTACACCACCCCCAAGAAGATCAAGCACAAGCGCAAGAAGACCAAGCTCGCTGTCCTCAAGTACTACAAGGTTGACGGCGATGGCAAGATCGAGCGTCTCCGCCGCGAGTGCCCCTCCCCCGAGGTATGTTAACTTTCTCTCGTCTGAAAAGTGAGTCTCGAACTAACGAACTTGTAGTGCGGTGCTGGTATCTTCATGGCTGCTATGCACAACCGTCAGTACTGCGGCAAGTGCCACCTCACCTACGTCTTCGACGAGTCCAAGTAAATGCTTGGCTTTTCTGAAACGGGTCGTTCCACTGTTCGTCCGTGCCGGTAGTGTGTGGTGATTTACTGGGCAATGTCGGTATTGGTTGGAGTGGTGGAATCAGGTTGAGGCAGTAGCAGTTCAAGAAAATAAAGATAAAAAATCGGAAATCCTGCCATCCATTACTTTCTCATATGCTTTGCAGTAGCGTAGTGCTGAAGACTACTCACTCGTGCTACAGTGGTAGTCAACTTGGATGAGACCGTCAAGGTAATGGCTCTACCGAGATTTCAGATGGTGGTAGGAACTGAAAGTTGATCATCACCATATCATTAGATCACCTAAGTGAATCTGTCAAAGATCGCTAAGAACTACCGGTCACAACGAAAAGCTCGAGTAATGTCACATGGCATCAAGTCGTCGGTTTGCACTTTGGCTTCAAGGGAAACCAGCACGCAGGTTGTCGAATCGAGACTCGTGGTAGTCCAGATTATTCTGGGCCTGTTCGAGTGCATTTACGCCGCCAACGCCTTCCACAAAAGTCCCAATGAGACTGCCATCGGCCTTATTCGCCGCCTTTCCTCCCTTGTCACCACTGGCTTCCCACCACATGCCACCTCCCAAGCCCTGCTTCTTGATGAAGTCCACTTTCAACTCGGCAGCGGCGACGGTGTCGTACGAGACCATGGTGCGCGCGCCTGCATCGTAGGACCAAGAGGCCCCTGCTTGCTGGTCAAAGACCTCCATTGCTCCGGGTTGGGGGAGAGCTTTGTAATCCCAAACACCATGCTCCCAGCTCCCAGCTCCATTGCCGGAGTAGGGGGTGCCGGGCCCGTTGGTGCTCAAGAAGTCACGGCCGTACAGCGGCATTCCCAGAACGATCTTGGAAGGCGGGACTCCTCCGACCTGAGTGTAGTAATTGACGGCCTGGATCGTCGAAAACGGAGTGGAAGAGGGGTTGCCATTGGATGGGAAGAGGTTGGCCTGGTGGCCTGCAATGGAGTCCCAGCTTCCGGCGTAATCGTATGCCATGAGATTGTAAAAATCGAGAAAAGGTGTCATCTCCCGCAGCTTAAGCTTGGAGTAATTGTTTGGTCCTAGATTGAATGTCAATTAGACCCACGCTACCGGCTGACCAGTGCCGAACGAATGATTCTGCGCAGAGGCAAGGGCAAGACTTACCGGCAGGGCAAGCAATCGTGAGAAGAAACCTGCGATTGGGGCCGGCTGCTCCGTCCAATGCCTAGGGAGGTCAGTCCACTGACCGTGACGACGGAGACATGCAGAATCCAACTCACCTCTCTGCACGTCTGAAGCAACGACACATAAGCTTGAGCCTCAACTTCGTCTTGACAGAAAGTCAACAATCGCTGGTCACCAATGGCACCTTTTAAACTCACTTTGCGGGTATTCCCAATCGATATCGATACCTGATCAATCAGCAACTGCCGCAACCCAATGCATCATCAAGGGGAAAACCTACCGTCGAAACCATAATCAAGGACCAGCTTCGCAGCAGACTGGGCAAAAGTGTTGCGTCCAGCATCCGTGCTTGTACCTTGGGTGAGATTGGCAGATAAGGTCCAACCTCCAATGGAGAGAAGGACCTTGAGCTTGCGGTTTTGCTTCTTGAGGAGGAACAACTGTTTGATGCAACCGTAAACGTTGTTTCCGGGTTCATTCCAAGAATCACCAGGATAGTGTTTGTCGACATCCGCGAATGGATCTCTCAGAAAACTGTCGTCACCATTAGTCAAGCTGTCACATAGAAGAGTATGCTTCGATGAATACTCACACTTCTCCCGAATCAGGTCGGACATCGGCGAAGGCGTAGAGAACATGAGTCAGTTTGTCCGCGGGAAGATCGAAAGCATGGTAGTTGCGTTGATAAATTGCCTAGCTGACTGTTAGCCAGGTCCTGTTGGATTCATCTGAAAAAGTAGGGAAATACTCACCCAATTGACAAAGTATGCGATGGACTTGTAACCGCCCTCCATGCTGATCTCACTAGAATTCTCGGTAGCTGCAACGATGTTAGACTGAGTACGACAACCAGTGTCATTTCCATTGGGAACGGAAAGAGCGAGGGGAGCTGCAAGCCCAATGAGGGCTATGAGCCAAAGGAGACAGTAATTGAAAGGATTGGACGCCATTCTTCCACCAGTGGAAGGTAGGCTGATTGAAAGGAGCGACAGAAGGTACTGCCAGCAGAGTAGATCTCTGTAGAAGCACAAAGGAGCGAAGAAGTACAGATATTATAAAAGAAGAGAGAGAAGGAGAGGAAGCTGGAAAGTAGGAGGTACTTAAAGACCATGGTTTTGCCAGATATCGCGCGAGTTAGGTCGCGAGAATACTAGTGAATGAGGAACACTTACTCGCGAGGTTGTGAATGAAAACCAGAGGTTTTCAGGGTTTCGTGAATAGATAGGACGAAAAGAGACAGCCAACAGCTCTAGTTTGATAACCTAAGGTAAAAAATGAGTGAATTATAGGATTAAAAGAGACGAAGAGACAAGCAAGAACAGTGCTAGATATGACACTTAAATACTAATCCTACTTACCGTAAAAAGGACTCTGGACAAGTTTTAGATAAGGATCTCGATTCTCCAGATACAATTCTTGCTGCCTGATTATCTGAACTTCTCTCTTGAACTAGGATAGAGCATTGACAGAGATGTTGTCAAGTTTCCCGCCACAGAACTAGATCAGATTAAGGCAGAGAAATGGAATAGCCTCACAGATACCCCACTTGGGCTAGCTCTGTCGATCCGTCATGAGACAGGGGAACTGTGCAACACGAAGAGTGTCGGCTGGCTCTGGTGTCGTCCAGTCCTGGTTCGTCTTCACATCTCGAGAGGCTTTTGCTATGCACTTGAAACCAGAGTGAAGCTCTATCATGGGAACATGGGTTGCACTTGGTAAACCACGGGACGATCCCCGGTAGT